TTCCTCCTTGGAAGAGATCTAGAGTCTCATTAACTACAGCCGACTCAGTGACCCCAGGGCATTTGCACATGCTGACCCCCCTCCCTGAGACAATCTTTCCCTCTCCATCCCCTTCACCCGATTACTACCTAGTCGGGTCTCAGCAGAAATGTCACTTACTCCAGGGACAACATCCCTGCGCCCCACCAGGCAGGACGCCCTGCTCCGTGCTCACATAGCTCCAGAGCTGCTTTCTCTCAGCTCTTATCAATCGAGAGTAATGTCTGTCCCTGCTGCTAGACTGAGAAACTGTGCTGGTCTTGTTCACTGCTGTGTCCTTGGTACAAAGGAGGTGCTCATTCCATAATTGTCAGCAAAATCCACAAGCCTCGGTTCCAAATCACCCAGCCCAATGCCGTCCTTTACACATAAGGAACTCGGAGGCCCAGGACAGGTAAGAGAACTGCCATGCTGCACGACAGTCCTCCTGCTTCCAGAAGCCCCCACTGAGCTGCCTAGCCGTCTCAGCCTCGGACCCCCAGGGCTTCACCTGCCACCTCCCCGGAATAATGGCGAGCCAGCTCACGGAGGAAGCACCCGGCCAAAGCACGTTTAATTTTAATTTAGGAATCGGTTAAGGCCGCAGGCCTGCTCAGCTCCGGGCTGTCAATCAGCCTTCCTCAAGGCTGCATCAATTAGTTTAAAAATATTGAATGTAATTTTGCCTGACACAACATATTGCAGCTACTGCAAAATATAATTTATTTTAGAAGAAGAAATAATTAAACTAATTTGCATGTCAGTCAGCCGAACTGAGATGCCTAGAGGGGAGGGCCATGGGGGACCCAGCCCCTGGAGGGGCACCTGCCTCCGGCCACTGGGTGTGGGTAGCTTGGGCCTGGGTCCAGACAGCAGCTGCCAGTGGTGGGCAAATACCCAGGCAGCAGGGGTGCCCACTGACATTGGATCCGGACCAAGTGTTAGACTTAGAGTCAGGAGACTAAGGCCTCAACCCCAGCCCTGCCACTGACTTACTATGGCTCTAGGAAAAGTCCTGCCCCTCTCTGGGCCTCAGTTTCCTCATCTACAAAATGGGTCTAACAATACGTCCTTCACAGGCTGATTTGAGAACTAAATGAGGTCATAGATAAGAAAGGGTGCTATGAATTGGAAAGTCCTGTGCAGAGGTCAAAATTAATCAACTGATGGATTCCTTGTTTGATACCAGAAATAATTTAAGGTGGTCAAAATATGATGATGATCAATTGTTATAAATGATACTAATTGTGATCAGGAGGGGTTTGGAGAAAGCTGATCAGAGGCAAGATATCGGGTTGGACTCCCCCACCTGAGAGCAGTGGTTTGCAAACCTTGCTACAGGTTCACTTCCCCTGAAGACCTGTTAAAAAAAATATATCAATGATGAAGACTTGAGCACTGGTGCTTTTTAAAGGCTTCCCAGGTGATTCTAATGTACAGCCAGGCTGGAGAACCACTGGCCCAATGTCAGTGTCAATGGCCCTGGATGCTGACCTGGGCCTGGCCCATAACTCTGGGATTCCAGGCCAGCCCCAAATTCAGGGGTTCCCAGGATAAGCTCTGCAGGTGGCACCTTTGGCAATTTAGAGGCACACCTCTTCGGTGCTCACTCAGCTGCCCCAGCTCTTAGATCTGAGACCCTCACTCATGCCAAAAGGGTCAGGGCTTTCCCAGTAGATGACTTGTGATATTTTAAAAGAGGAGGTAGCAGAAGCCCAGTACTCCAGGGGGGTGACTGCCCACTCAGCTGTCCGGCCTGCTGAGGTCTTCCTTCTATGTGGCCTGTAGGGTCCCATATCTCCCGCTAGCCCCTGCACCCACCGCCCTCTGCTGCAGGAGAGGGCGCCCAGCAAGGGCCCTCGGGCCCTGCCCCCACCCCCAGCTTCCCTCTGCCTCTGCTGGGAGAGAGGCGCCTCTTCCTGGCTGTGGGCCTCGCCCTCCCCTCCGCCCGAAAGCACCCACCATCTGTCTGTTGAAGTTTTTCGGCAACGCACTCTTAAAAATAACGGTTCGCCCGGCGTCCCCAGTCACGACTCCCATCTCTCGCCCCCAGAAAAGCCCCCTCTAATCGCTGGGGCGGCAGATCTGGGTGAGCTGAGAAGATAAAGCGCCCCCAGCTAAGCGGAACTCCAGAGAGGGGCTACGGTCTGAGTTAATTAAGGACTCGCCGCCCTCGTTTCCCTGACCCCCTTGGAGGTGGGTCTCCTACCGCCTTCACCTGCCTTCCTGTCTCCATTTCTCTCTTTACCAACACACAGGCAGCCGCAGTCGGCCTCCGGCGGGCCCTGAGTTCAGGGAGGGAGGCAGCCGACCAGTCTCAGTCCCCCCAAAACTCACGGGGTGCCTGGCTGTCTGGAAGCTTCCTGGCTGCCCCCCAAATAGCTCCCTGCCAGCCCAGCCAGAAAGCTTTGTCCATCCAAGTCACCGCTTGGAAGCGGGGTGTGATTTCCTCTCCCAGGGGATGTTCCTGAGGTCACCAGCAAGTCCTGGAACCTCTTGGTAACGAATGCATGGCTGAGATAGCTGAGGCTGGCCCAGAGGTCCCGGGCAGGGGCGAGGCTAGAAAGGGCCAATGTTCAGGGTGCTGCTCAGAGAGGACAGGCTGGGATGAGCTGTTCCATATCCTAAGAAGTCATTTAATGTCATTGCCAAAAGGACCCTTTGAGGACGTCTGTTTATTTGCAGGTACTTATATAGCACTTGCTATGCATTGTGTAGACAGTTTTAAGTGCTTAACAGATATTAACTCAATCCATCTCTTAACCAACCTATTATAATTAGACCCATTTTGCAGGTGAGAAACAGAGGCCCGGAGACATCAAATGATACAGCTTAGATCACACAGATATAAAGTGGCAGAGTTGGGATCAGAACTCTGATCCTGGAAAACGCTCTGCTCGTTTTCTGCATGTGGAAATTGATACTAGAAGGTCAGGGTCTTAGCCAAGATCAAACACTGGTCAAGGACACAGCCATACCTGGAATTCAAGCCTCCTGCAGATGATCCTTCTGGGCTCCTTTCATTTGTTCAACAAATATATTAGAACCTACTCTGTACCATATCCCACAACACTGGGGACCCAGAGATAAATAAGACAGTGACCTTGACCTCAAAGCCATCCCAGTTGGAGGGATGGGGATATCATGGTTTTGCTGACCAAGACCCGCCTCCTTGGCCTTGTCTGGCCCTATCAGAATCAGCAGAGGTTTTGGACTTCAGTTACAAGGTGACCAATTCTTTAAACTTTCCCATGTTTTAGTTTCTCCCTTGCAATAAGGGGATGTAAATTCTACCAAACCACAGGGTTTCTGCAAGGATACCTGAAATAATGGATATGGGTGCTCCAGGTGCAATCTCTGCACTCTCTGGTGAGGGCATGAGGATGGCAACGGTGATGATAGTGTTGTTTGTGGGGGGAAGGGAGGGCAGGGATGTGATGGTGATATTGGTGATTACGGTGGGGGTAATGGTAGTAATAGTGGGACTGGCAATGGTAGTGGTGGTGGTGATCACAGTGGAGATGGTGATGCTATCGGTGATGGTGGTGGGGTTGGTGATGGTGGTGAGGGTGGTGATAGTGATGGTCTCAGTATTTGTGATGGTGGTAGAAATGGTGAGGGTGGTACTAGTGGACACGCTGGTGGTGCTGGTGCTAATTCTGATGGTGATGGTATAATGGTGGTGATGGGGGTAGCAATGGTGATGGTAACAGTGTGGGGATGGTGATAGTGGTGAGGATGGTGACGGTGATACTGGTAGCTATGTTGGTAACACGAGGCAGTGATGATCATGCCAATGGTAGTGGTTATGGCTTAATGGCAATAGTGGCGGTAATGGTAATAGTGACGGTGATGGTGCGGTGGTGATGACGCTAATGGTGGGGCTGGTGTTGGGCTGGTGGTGAGGCTTGTATTGGGGATGGTGATGGTGGTGGGGCTGCTGATGGGGATGGTGATGGTGGTGGGG